TTTGTACTTTGTCCTTTACAGGCGTCGCACACGCAGGTTGGATCGTAATACCGGATGACGGGATGATTATTTTATTTACATTTTTCCCTCTGTCATGCGAATCCCGTGATATGTAAACCGGAAGTAGTCGGCCGCCTTCTTAAAAAATTCCTAAATAAATGCGTCACATCGCTTCCAAACTTTATATTAAAAATATATATGTATCTATATTTGAACAATTCAACGTGGCTACCAGCACGTTCAGTAGATATACCCATAAGCTATCAGACTCGACTTCTACCGGACTAGTCGCTTCCCGGCAAGTATTCACAGCCACGTCCCATAGCTACCTACTCCCCTGTTACACGTACTCTTACCCCATGCACGTATCGCGTATCATGGCGACGTCAGATGCTCAGGATGCCTACGTGTACCACGTTCTTAGCGGTATAAGAGGAAGCGGCCTGACGCGGTCCAGGCGGGATATCATTTTAACCACGAAGAGCGCTGGAGCTTTCCCACCTATATTTCCGTACTTTTATGTCGCGTTGCATATCCCTGTTACTACCCCTATAGATACCCGTTTACAGATGCATAGTCAAATGTACGAAGGTACCCCTTTGTACATTTTATTTCCACCCCTGATGTAGACCGAAAAATAATATACCTCTGTTCCAGCGTCACGTCGAATTTTTTTGCTAAAACCGTAAGAAAATTTTGGTTGACTTCTGTTTTTGCTCGAAGGGGTGGCTTTTTGAATTTCAAATAGACTTCATGGACGTTACTCTTATACGGGGTGAAAAAGGAACGTCAAGTTTTAAACCTCTCGGGACTGCGATCGCTGTTGGCTTGTCCCACCTTCGTGTGCTTTCGGCTACTATATCGGTATTAGGGTAGGTAAGCGCCATTGTTGCTGATATCTTAAAATGGCACAATACGCCCACTCAGCTTCCCTTTAAATCGCGACAACTATCTGCGCCTCCAATCGGCTGAACCATCTTGCTTAATAGCTGCTACGTGTCTGTGAATATATAGCGTCTAGGGGTTGTTTCGGAACCGGTTTTAGGACCGAAAGGGGTGTTCAGGTTGCACCCAGGATGAGTGCGAGGGAAACGTAGAAATTTTTTGGCAACGTCGTAACTTCTGCCTCGTTACGCAAATTATATTGATTCTGTTGATAAGTGTCGATGAATATTCACAGCTTCTAATTATTCCGACGGAAGATCCCGCCGTTGGATCATCCTTGTTTATCACCGTTCCGTTTTCGTTGTAATATAACGTGTGCACGCAGGCGGGAGCCTTAAATTGTCAAAGGCTATCGGGGTAAAGGTTGATCAGCTTTCCGGGACCAGAAACTTTTAGTAGGTATACCCTGTATATGGGCAGACGAAAGAAATTATACCTTAAAATTCTTGCTCATCCCCTGTTCGCCCTGTCTGATCCTTAAGGTGATAGGTTGAGACCTAAGACGAGGTCACGGAGTCGAATTAGAAGAGAACGAAGAAAAAGAAGAAGAGCAGGAGCCATTGAAGTGACGACTCTTTTGTGATTTTCTCATTACTAGAGTAGTAGGTGGTCCTGGGAGCCTCCTCAGCATCCACGACCTCCTCCGTTACTTACCTCCTGCTTCGGCAGAACCTTCAGCTCCTCCTCCCTTACGTCAAGTTCTACTTTTTCGCGCAGCTCGTCCAGCTTTATAAATCCATAATATTATAAAGATAAGAAAAGGGTGGTTACCGCCCTTTTGAAATCCCCACTCCCACGTACCTTCCCCATCCTCCCCCCACGGATCTGTCCACCCTTCGATCGTATCAGCCGCTGCGAGAAATTACTCCTTTCAGTTGGTCTTCCATGTGGTAAATGTATTTGAAGGATCATACCTAACCTGACCTAAGGACTGCGATCAGATTTTGAAAATTACATATCTTCGTCGTCAGACAACGTTGTAAGATACTCATTATACTTGATACAAGATACGAGTATATCCTATAGGGCTATATTTGAGGAACTCAATGACTCGATATATATACCGGGTGCTGTTAAGTTTCTTATGTAAAAATGATGAACGTCCTTCACCGTCTTCCAATTTAACGTCTGCTATACAAAACGACGCCTCTCGTTATTCGCCATTGTCTGACGCTGGTCTCCACCTCCCCTCCCCAGTCTACCCTGGACTTTCGTCTTCCCGTTCAACGTTTCGTGCTCTATTAGCCAGCACGGAGCTATCCTAGGTTTGGCGCATTTTTTACCACCCTTTTACCTGCAGCACGCATCCCTCCCTTTGCAGGGCTGGTAATACTACAACGTTAAGACAGTTCCAACGAAAACTTCGATCCAACCGGTTGCTAACCATATAGCTCTAGAGTTGTCGACTGGCGACCCGAAATGCTTCTTCGAAGAAAAGCAACCCTTTGTAAAGCCGACAAACCACCCCCTAAGACTGGAGGCATCTGCGCTATAGATACCACCTCCCCTCTTCTCTCCCTAACTGGTAGCTTCCTCCTAGCGTCAATTAGTATCCCTTAGTACAACTTTACTTCGCGTTTTCTCTCCGTCGGCCCTTCCGATACACCGGTATTTCTACCCTTAGAATCTATTCACCCCTCCGACCCTCGCATCCCTTCCCCAGCAACGCCTTCCTGCTTCTTAGCGTCATTATCAGCCATTTGCTAATACTACAAGATAAATTGCCGGGTGTTCATTGTTAACTGGTGCAGCTTCGTATCGTGTACAATCCGCCCTCCCCTACTCCCATACCTATTTATTGGGTACAGGTCATTAAAAAAATTAATTTCACGAAATTCACGGCATTCCTCGGATACAGTTGTAGGATATCGGTAATATACACCCGTGCATTTATTCGCGCGGGGTATCCGTTACACGTGGATTCGTTTTAGGCGAATGAAAATCGCGTAAATAGAGTCGGTCGGTACAAAGGGGGGAAAAATATTGGAAAGAGAGGCTGTTATAAATTTTATAAATCACCTAATAATCATAAAGCTGTGCTTCTTACATAGTTTTAAAAATTATACAATATTTTTTTTTGGCTGCAAAAATTCAAATTGGGTAACATGACATCGCGTTTAAAAAATACCACGTAAATAGTGTTTCAATCTACTGGGTAGAAAGACACTGGCGTAAAAAAAAAATTCCGAGTTTGGAGCGACGGGTCTACCGTGAGGTATCTTACGGTGACTTTGTTTGAAAAATTGATCGATAACTGGTAATAAAGTATGGCTGTGTCATTGTAACGATAAACGTTATCGATTTTTCTATTATCCGGAGTCCTATGCGCGGAATACACGAATAGGGTTAGGGTAGTTGGGGAAAGTCCAAGTGGTATTGTCGCAGCTCATTATAATCAATCAACCCTTGGCGCGTGCGGCCATTTGGAAAATATCTTACTAGGAGATTAGTCTGGGAGTTATGAGGGGCTGCGGGAGGGTTGGGGGGTAGTTTGTTGGCTAGGTAGCAGTAAGCCTACGGGCTGGAATCGTTCATTTACTCGATATCGAAGGAAACTCCTCTCTAATCCGTTTAACGAGAAATCTGATGGAATCGATCTTCCAGCTGTCGAGGATATCCTATCCTGTACCTGGAACCTTTGCCTCATTGCCATCCCCCTTGGACTTCTTTCTTTTTTCAACCCTCGTCTCCCTTACTCGTGTCTTCTTTCGTATCTTACGTTTTTTCCCTCTCGCGTTGCCTCGAGCGGGAAGAGCTGCCAGGTATTTTATCTTGACGGAAAAGGAAAATAAAAGGCAAGAAAAAGGATAACCAACAGCTGCAACCCCCGACCCAATTTTCATCCCCGTATACGGATAATTGGTATCTGCGAATTGATAGTTTGCACGGATGGGTTTCATAGGGAGTGATCCGAAGCGCGATAGGGTTGCTTTTAGGGGTTGCAAGGAATCAAGTACCGAGTCGAAGAACCTGCCTGCGTCCTGAACTCTGAAAGCAGTAGGTCGGGAGGAGTGGTACATAGGAGGTGTTACACCCGGGACCATCCTGACCAACGAGAGGGAATTAAACTTGGAATTCTCGATGGTTGGTAAATGGCGAGAGCAACCAAGAGTATCCTAGACTCACCGTTCCCATCCGGAGCAACCCTTATGGGTTATTCTTATGGCGCAGCTGATAGGGGGCAACCTACCAACCTGAAGAATCTAGCCAACCCTCTGTACCGCGAGGAAGCGATAAGATCTAAAGAATTCCCCAAAGCTTCGTGGCACGACATATTGATTTCGCGAAATCCCACAGGTACCAACTGAGATTCCGAGCATTTGGCCAACGTTACAAATAAATTTTTATCCATCGCTAGCCATCTTGGTAAATCGAAAAAATTACGGGTCGATCAGATCTATACTTTATTTTTTTTTTTTTTTTTTTTTTTTTTTTTTTTTTTTTTTTTTTTTTTTTTTTTTTTTTTTCGTCCCTCAAAATATTTTCAGCATCCACCCTCGTAGATTCCCAATAATTTACGGAAGTGACGACTGTGCAAGATTCACAAGCTCGCGAGGATTTAGCAACATTGACGCATCCTGTTTTGTAATTGATGTCGTCATATCCGGAAGGCAGCCGTACCGAACGCTAAGCACAGCGAACACCCATGTTCGTGAGCACGTCGGCTTATCACGCATTGACACATATCCCCATCATATTCCCCCCGTCCTTTCATTCGACACTGACATCTCGTAAATGTTCAGTCTCGAGCTATAAACTCGCAAGCGAATATATCCCGAGATTACTCCGTAGGACACAAGGGGGCCTGGACCTTCGCACAATGGCCTATGCACATTACTGCCAACACGTGACATACCATGGGCGACATTCAATATCCCTAATATTACCTTGAAGACGGTATAGATCAATTACGAGCATAATCCCTCCATTCGGAATTCAAAAGACGCCAAATTGAATTCCGTTATTATATTCACGTCGAGTTCCTCCTGGCTCAAGGAACTCGATCGATTGCACGATCGTCACCCTGACACGAGTGTTCTTGCTTTCTGTTTCAGGTGAGTCTCATGGAAGTGGAGGAAGTGAGATCGACCGGCGGGAATCTAGCACTGGTAAGCCGTAAAGACGCGTTACCGGCGACGCGCGTCATCGGGAACATCCTCCTCGTTCATCCTCGTCGCTCTGGGTATCATCCTAGATTCTAAATGCAAAAGGGCTCCTAATACCCATCGGCATCCTTCTTAATTAACTGGCCAATATATTCCCATGATTCGGCCGGTTAACAGTTCGTCTTGGGGCATTGACGACCCGGTTAACGTCTTCGGGGTGACCCGATGGCGTGGTTCCCTAGGTCCTGGGGCTCCTGGAGGAGGACGAGGGTCGGGACGATGGGCCAATGTCGGTTACGCTCGCGTTTATTGGATGTAAAAGTGAAGCCTGAGCGTACGGGATTGAGGGGCGAGGGTTATCCCTATTCTTATACATATATGTTTATGTATATATATATATATATGCTATATACTTTGTTATGTATATATATTCATGTACTAAAGGGGCACGGGAACGGCCCGGGCTTCGTTATTCATTACTTCGGTATTAAGCCACAGGCACTGCCGCGAGAGTACCCGAAGGACTCGTCTCGCCGAATTTCCATGCATTTCGAACTACCTGAATCTCCCTGTGGCGGTCTCTGACTTGTCGTTTCTCTCTCTCTCTCTCTCTCTCTCTCTCTCTCTCTCTCTCTCTCTCTTGCTGATCGTCCTTTTCATCCTCCTTCTCTTTCTCGCGGTCGTTAACGAATCTCGATATCGAGAGTTTGATTGCTTTCCACCTAAATTAATCAGGGAACACGTTACATCTGATCAGGCACCTTTATCCCGACTTACAGGTGGTGCCAACTGCGTGTTTGATTTAGACTTGAGGTATGGCGGGAACATTTGAAATGTATAGGGTATGCTTGAACTTTATATATATTATATTTGACAGGGGACATGCCGGATGAAGTTTGTTTATAAATTCAAAATCAATTTTGTAACAATCTAAAAATCGATCGTCGTGCCGTACAAAGTTTTTAACTGGACAGGCGTAATGACTCGATCGATGACTGAAAAAAATAAGCCTCGAGATTTTTTTTTGAAAAAATTTTGTTTTTCTCATATCTAAATCTTCTACAGCCATTGCGTCACTCTTATGACATATGTAAACGGATATATACTTATACAATATTTGAGCTCTCACGTGTCTACTCTCTAAATTAATAACCTATAACCTCTATACTCACGTATTTCGGGGATGCGCCTAAGCAGAATGACATTTTTCCTTGGTTCTCGATGGTATATGAACCCTTGGCACACGTAAAGTGATCGGTTAGTTTAAGCCGAGGAGTCTTACAGAAGGAGCTGCGAATAAATCAGTCTATCGGAAATAGATTTCTTCGATTGGAAAAGGAAGTTCCCTGGAAAAAGCGAAGAGGAGCATACGTGTGTAGTGGGTGTGAAGGAGAGGCGGGTGTGGGGTGCTGGTGAGTTGGGGCTGAAGGAGTAAAGTGACATACAAGAGAGAGAGAGAGAGTAAGAGGGGTGGGGGGAGGGTTAAAAATAGAATGAACATAGGACACGTGATCGATTAAAAGAAAATCCGGAATTCGTCCGAAGGATCTGAATTTGAGGAACGATGCTTGATCAGGAAGGGGTGGATTTTTGCAATGAACCCTCCCCCCGCCTCCCGACGGTCGTAGCGACCGAAGACTACGATATAAAATTCCAGTCCCGTTTATCTGGTATCTTGGAGGTTGATGGGGTGGGGGTGGGTGGAGGAACACTTTTTTCTCTGGTATCGTTCAGCAGGTTGGGATAAACGTTAGGTAGTAAGGTCAGAGTCTTATCCCACGGGAACCATTCGTCCCCTTTGACTGGCCCATCATCCATTCATCCCTTTCTTGAAGTGACGCAACGTGCGGGCCGCGCATTTCTGCGCCAGTCCATAAACCGGATATTTCGGTTGCCGAGACAACCATAAAATATCGATACTACCCCTTATATGGAGGTAGTGACATTCTGCTGCTGCTCCTGCTAGCAGTCGCGGTATTAGTTATCGCCAGTATACAATCTAGTATATAGGGTGTCGTATAACTTATGAATCCCAACGGCCGCGTGCGTTCCACTGACGTATATTTCAACCCCCCGGTGTCCCGGGCAAAAGCTACGCATAAGCCATATAAGACCGGAGATGTCTTCCAGGTTCATGATCTAAGCAAGGATTGATTCAGCCCTGGAACTCCCTGCTAGAGAAAGGAATGAGGGGTTGCGGGACAGAGGGGGGGGGGGTAGGCTGAGAAACTTTCAGTGTATATAAGCAACAAGAGACATCTTCTTCCACTATCAGGGTAGAACCATCTAGTACTTGAACCCCTCTTCTGTGCTTGTGCAACTAGCACTTCCACCCCATTGGTGTCCCGGGTGATCTTTCAATGAGATCATCCCTTGGGTCTTCCGTGCTGTACTTATAATACATATACTCTACCTTGCCTACTTCAAAGTTTTGCCAAAGTGCAAAGTTGACGTCTCTCTCACTCTTTATCTCTCTTACCAGAAGCTCCTAGATCTTTAGCCACCGCTTTCCTGAACCATCCCTTGGCACTTCCACCCTTCATTCGTGCTCCAAAGTGCAAACTGATCGAACCGATATGCGATCGAACCTCCGGCTGCTATACGTAACACGTGTTATCTATTAACTTACCGTGATAAATGATTTACTTCCTTCCGCCCAACTTCGCACGTAAATCGCTTGGAAAAGGGTAGCTTGTGTCTTTGCCCCCGGGAGGGACGTATTTTCTTAAGGGCCAAGACGATCCCGGATTGGCTTCGGGGGATGTTGCTACTTCAAAATCTCGAGAAGGTTCAGTTGTCTCTGTAAAAGATTTTTTTCTTCGTTTCGTTGCTAATTGCTCGTTTATCGCTTTACTTCATTATGTCTGACTAGTACCTGGCTGTTGCTACTTCTTGTACTGTATTTGATACTCTTACGTATAAGGCTCTTATAGGAAGGATCCACTTAGAATTCCCATTCTACGGACTCTTTAGGAATTACTCGAATGGAACTGATGTCATTTATATCCATGCTGAAATTCGGTTTGCTTAGTTTACCCGGGACTCTCGGATCCCTTATTCGGACTCAGGGGATAGTGGCGACTGCCAAAGGAACCATTTTCAGGGATAAATTGATCTGTTTCACTAAAGTTTCTCGAGTCATCAGAAATTTAAAATCCTAAAGCGATTGAACCTTCCTGAGCTCATCAGTCCCTTTCTATGAGAGATTGGACTCTGCTCTATACCCCAATGGCTATGAGGGGGTAGATTCAAATTTGATAAACAAGGGTTGAATTATATCTGTTTCCCATGTCCGTTTGTCGTAACTTCTGAATTCTGTACGACGACGCATAACGCCTATAGTCTCTGTCGTAATTTTGAAGACCTGCTTGAATAGTCAAGTTATTTATAAGGGTCGTTCACTCCTTTCGTACCACGAAGATATTTGCATTGTAAGAATTGCGTGCTCGCGATTTAACTTATTTTTCTGAAAAATCCTGTCTGGAAATTTCTCATGATATTCCTAGAATTTCAGTAAGGTTCGCCTCCCTCTTCATTTTTCCAGCAAGTATTTCTCTGTGCTTTGTTGTAAAAATGCGACGGCCGGAGGAAGGGGTGTCTGGTGGCAGTCAGACTTACCGTATCAGGTCCGCGAAATTCACAGGGGTGAAAAGTGGTCTGGTCTTCTCACACACCTTGCAAACTCGTATTTTCTCAACGCAAATAGGGGTTGCATGAAGCCGAGGAAAACGGCTCCGAGGGGCGTATCTGTTTAGCGACATCATTTATACGGACGGACAGACGGGCAGACCCGACAGACTTAGGGGTGCGGGCCGGCTGAGAAAAAGAAGCCCCCACGAGAGGGAAGTTCTACAGGTGGATGATAATGCTCCTTTATTGCGCACCCTTCGACTGTAATTTGATATCAAGGTACGGCTTCTGGTGGGGAGGAAAAAAAACTACCCTTTATTTGTACCAGAGAGTATAGGTAGACAAGAGACACTCTTAGCATCGGGACGCTGTAGTAAATCGAGTAAAGGAAAAAGCATAAGGGGTGGAGAGTTTTCACTACGCTTTTTGACAAAATCCTGCGTGTACAGGATGCGCAAAAATTTTTGGAAAAGTGACAAAAAATTGCGCGTATCCTGTTTCTCGTAAATACAGAGAACTTTCGAGGGGTGTTCCATTTACAGAAATGTACGAAAAAATGTGCGAGAGTACAGTGAAGAAAGTTCCATGTTCTACTTGGCCTTTCACTCATTGAGTAGATAGGGCGCGAGCGCCAGGTCAGCGATATTCTGTGGGGTTGAAACTTCCGGTCGCATTATCAAGGGGTAGGTTAGGTAGACGTCACTCTTCCGATCTCGCAAGAGCTACCAGGGTCCGGGTGTCACGAGGGACAGATGTGACAGCCCTTAAAATTTCCCGTTTACGCGACCAACCCCTTCACCTATAAAGGGCAGCCGCGAGAGGGTGAAAGTTCACGTATTTATCATTCTCCGATGATAAAAGTTATCTGCGTCCGACCACGCCTCCGGCATATCCTACACCCCTTCCTATTTCCTTTTCGAAAAAAAAAAAAAAAAAAAAAAAAAAACCCCCCCCCCTATATACGATCCATTCACCGTCCCTTCAATTCAACCCCTAATGTCTAAAACCTACCTTACGGGCCAACACCCTGCCTCCCCTTCGTCTTAACAGTACAAGGCAATTCCACCCCTAGATGCTTCATCGCAAAAACCGCCTACCCCCTTCCCACAACGCTTCGAGATCTTCCAATAAGATAAACGCTTTGGATTTTATGTTAACCCTTACTCAAATACACTGATCAGTAGATACGCTCATTTATAGATCCAGCATATCGATATATACCCCTCAGGTATGCACCTGTTAATCGAATAACTTGTTTACAGGAAATAAAACTGGATCGACAATTTTTACGACAGTTTCCTAGATACTGCACTTTGGATAAACCAAAAAAGAGATGGCGCCAGTCGTGCTGCACTTTGAATTTCCAAAACGAG